TTCAAGCACACAGCTGCACCAGACTCTGATTCATCAACATCTAAAGAACATCTTAGGCTCTGAAGTTTCCAGAAGATTCTGAAGACTGAAGACTCTGATATTGATTGTTGATCTGAACCATCTGAAGAATTATTTGAAGAAGATTATTTTAATATATCCGTTGGAATATGCCAGCAAATCTTTCCTTATTTGGGATAGACAAAATTCTCTGCAAGAATATTATTCCTCTGGTACATTCCATATATGGTATAATCACAGCTCAGCAGACAATTGCTACACCCACATTTTGTGCGCAGTCTCTCTGCTGCAATAGTACAAAGGACAGTACTATTTGATATTGGAAATATCTTCTCTAACGGTAAAATATTCTCTCCAATATTCAAGTGGCTATATAAAGGATATCATAGCTCATTCTTCAAGTGACGAAATTGACGAACTTATTGCAAGAACTCTCTCACGCTAAAAGCTCTCATATTCTTCATAGTTCATACATTGTTCTAAACTTAGAGAAATAACACAGTTGTGTTTATAGCTTTATTAGAAGCAATTTCTTACTCTTACATTGTATTACATTAATTTGTAAAGGAAGTTTTCCTTAAGAGGATCTAGGTTAGATCAGTAGCTCTTGAGAAGACTAAGAACAGTTGTTCTTAGGTGTTGCTATTTGTAATCAGTTGATTTGAATAGTGGATTAAGTCCTTGTTGAGAAAGGCAAATCACTCTTGAAAAGGGTGGACTGGAGTAGTTGAGTTCAACGAACCAGGATAAAAATACTTGTGTTTTTATCTTTGATTATTTTCTGTCATACTTATTCAACCCCCCCTTCTAAGTATTTTCTCACCTTCAACTCCTACCTCCTATCTTTCTCGCATCCTCTCTCACCCTCAAAACAACAATGTTTCCCATCTTTCAATACCCAACCTTGCAAAAACCCGTAAATAAAAAATAAAGTCAAACAGAGCCAAAGAGATTGAGAAGCTCAGACCAAGAACTCACAAAATTGAGTTAAGGCAAATCTGAATCAAGTGAGAAGTCGAGAGCAAACTCAGGGTAGAACCGAGGTCGTGTGAGATTTGCGGAAGGTTAGATCCATTGATGATCTACTCTTAATTACCAGCGATGGACTTGTCCGTGTAGCTCTTTTTCTGATTTCGCATGTTCGTTTGGACAAGAAGATAGCAAATTGTGTTTTTTTTAGTTTTTTTCTTTTGCGTTTCAAGGAGAGAGGTCTAATGATGTTGGTTTATGTCTGAACGAATTCACTTTTACGGACCTCACTTTGACCGCGTTTCTCTTTTGGATTTTCCACTGGCATTGTTTGATTAGCTCTGGGTTTAAAGCCCATTACATTTTTGGCTAACTGAATTTTTGATGAGATGATGGGCCTTCAAGCGCGTGTGATTCTCACTTAGTCCATGTTTTTATTCTACATCCCAATTTTCATAATTACACCCCCTCTTATTTTAATTTTTAGAATTGTTAACCTTTTTTCTAATAAGTTTCCAAGAGTTGTTAATATTTTTTCTAAATAAAGTTCTTAGAATTTTACCAATTTATTTAGTGATTTTTGTATAAAATAAATATAAAAAAACATTTCACTAAATATTTTGTTTTTAGTTCATTAAATCATTCTTGATTTTCTTTTTATACAATTTTCTTCACCTTATCTTGATCTAGTTTTGGATTTACTTTAGTTTCATTTTCCGGTCGATGAAGAGACCTCAAAATTGATGTTCGTCAAATTATTGATTAATAATAATAAACTCGAGACCATATTTCTTTTCACCTTTTCATTTCTGATTTTTATTCATTTTATCGTTTTTCGGTCGATGACGAGACCTCTAAAATCATTATCGGTCAAATTATTGATAGACGACGGTTTGTCCGAGACCACTTTCTTTTTTATTTCATTTTCTTCTTTATTTTCGATTTTATTTAATTTTTTCGATCTATGAAGCATTTTGATTCGCGAATGTTGGTTTTCACCTTCATTGTTTTAAATCTGTAGAAAATGATCATTTGGATCATTTTTCTATACTTTGGTATCGTGAGAGGTTTCCCTCGATTAATTAACACGAGTTTGTGATTAAGACGAGATCCCATCTTCTTTTGTTCGTGTGACACGATTTAATCGGAGAATGATCCTCAATATCATTTCTCTATCTTGTTTTTAACACGGATATCAATCTACGCGACCTCCTATAGTTCGACTTCCATTATAAGTCGAGCTACGATGGCTTAGCATTACATTTCATCCCGATTCAATTCACTAACAAACTGACAACTAACTTTACTTTCTGTCAAATATACACTGCTTTATTTTTCAGTCGATATTATCCTGATTAAATTCTCTTACCCATATACTTGTTAATATTTCTCTTGATATATTATTGTGAATATTCTTGTATATATATTATTATATATCCTGTATATTATCTGTATCTTGTATATATTCATTTCATTTCTTCATCTTACTCACATTCTTTCAAAACACCTAATAATTATCGAAACCATAAAACCCTAAATTGATGGATTGTTGGTTGTTTGTCTGAGTGTTGAATCATTGGACATTTTCAGAAACCCTAGCATAGAGTTGTGCCCGACTTTCACTCAAAGGCGTAGCTTAGGACACATTGAAAACACACGACTTTCTCTTGGGCTACCTGACAATGAGACCATTTATTTCTTGCAATCCCACATAATTCCCATGTACCCCTCTCCCATTTTCGATGTACGTATTTCGTATTTCTTTGACTGCGACTTATCTTCTAGGAGCACTGATCAGTGGTTTTTACACGTTATTTTACCATTCGTTTCTGTTAATCATTTGTTATATCTTGTCGCATTTTATTTGTTTTTATTGTATTTTACGCGTTGGTTTGGTGTTTTCATTATTTCTAAGTTCAGGTGAACAATAAAGGAGAATCAGAGCAAAAACCGGGGGAAAACAACAAGATTTTGGAAGAGTTTTGAAGTGGATCAGGAGCCTGATACGGCCGCCCGTGTCAGGAAGTACCCAGAAAAGAAAATATTGGTGGAAACAGAGAGTTGACACGGCTGCCCGTGTCACATGACACGGCCCGTGTCAGCACACCTGGGACTTAGAAAATTCACGTGCAAATTGAGTCTGAAAGCCAACGCGGCCGCCCGTGTTGCCTGACACGGCCCGTGTTGGTGGAAACGCCTCATTCCCTATTTTTCTTGTATTTTTGACACTTGTGATCCCTAAGGGTATTTTGGATATTTCCCTGGAACTGAGTTTGAATTGAGACTATTTGATACGTGTTTTGAGAAAGGAACGGGGCACTTTGGTCGTACGGGGAACAAGGACAATGGAAGATTGAAGCTCTGGAGAATTGGGAGGACAAGGAGATTTTCATGCTCGGAAGAAATTGAAGATCGAATTTACTCCCTAAATCTTGTAATGTTTCTATTTGTCATGTTGTTTTTATTGAATACTATGAATAGCTAAAACCCCTGTTGCTAGGGGGTGTTCCTGAATTGTGTTGTGATGAACCGCTGTTGCATTTCTTAATGAGATTTTGTTTCAATCCTTAATATTTTTATTATGCAATTCGTTTAAACTTATAAAGGATCGTATAAATTGGGAACGATGTACGATTAGGGATTTGGCCTGAAAAACCGATCGATTACTTTGTATAACACATTACAGTGAATATTGCCTAGGAATAGGGATATCCCGTAATGATTGTAAAAACCCTTTGTCAGAACTATTACTTGATATATTTCCTTGACTGCTAAGGAATTAGGGTCAAGGAAGAATATCAAAGGTTTTTTAGTTAAGCAATTTAAGAAAAACACTTTTGAGGTGCAATAAAAATTAAGGTCTTGTGAGAAGTCTTATTGGTTTACTCCAGGGTTCGTTATAAGCAATTCATACACTTCCCCTAACATGTTTCCTCTTAATCATTAAAATAATTTTATCATTATGTTTTTTCCTTTTGAAAACCCCAAACAAAACCCAAGGTTATTTTGTCTGATTGAAATAACATTTTTACCTAAAACTTTACACGCAATCCTCAGAGATCGATACTGGGATAACCCCAATTATTACTACATCGGTAATAAAATAGTACACTTGATATTTTACCGGTCAAGCACCCCCAGGGACTAGTATAACCCTTTTCAAACTAATTCTCGATTCTTCATTGAGCCATTTTCAAACACCTCTCTGTAAGTCGAGTGCTCGTCCGCATTCGCCATCAACCTATCGCACACACGGTTACACTTCATCGTGAACTCGACATTAGGAGCACCCCTAGGGACTAGTATTGTTTCTCACGCCTTAACCCTTGACTCGTCGTCAAGCCGGTTCCATTTTCAATCAAAACCCTCGATGAATCGTCGAGGTATTTTCAAACCCACTTCCATTCCACCATGTTTTTGCATGCAAATACAAGTCAAACCCTTAATCCAACGTCAAGTGGATTTTCTCAATAAACTGTCAAACCAATTCACCACCTATTCTCTTTTACAACTTTTTCTCCTAAAACCTTGGTCTCGTACCAAGTGCATTTTCAAACTCTTTTCCTAATAAAACTTGAATGGTTGTGGAGTGGTTAGGCGTAGGTCTTCTTCTATCCCGAGTGCTTGACATTACCTTTAGAGTTCGCTGTCACAAAGCGCTTACCATTCAAGATCAAAATATCTTCAATAAGAGAATGAAGCTCTCTTTGTATTGAATTAAAGAGAGAGGATTGAATGTAGATTTCTTCCTCTCCGAGTGTCAAGATACTCACTGTAGAGTGTGTGGTCTCGATACTCGTCTTTCAATACGAAGACGTGACTGTATTCGCCACACATTTTCACAATAATCCTTTTGAGATAAATAATCGGGTACTACCTGCAAGGGGTTACTATTTTGAAAAAATGGAGAGCTTTAAATTTGCTTTCATTTTGAAGTTAATGTTAAAGTTTTTTAGTATCAAAAACGAGCTTTCAAATGTCTTACAAAGAAAAGATCTTAATATGTAATTTTCATGGAATTAGTTGATGTTGTCAAAGCTCGGTTGGCCACAATGAGAGAGAGTGGTTGGGATAGTTTATTTGCCAATGTCCAAGATTTTTGTGTTGCTAAAGGTATTCCGGTGCCAAATATGGATGATGAAATATCGGTTCGGGATCGTTCAAGGGCAGAAGGGAGGACTATCACTATTCTTCATCATTACCGTGTAAAAAAATGTTATGATGCTATTGACAAAATATGTGTGGATATGGATCATCGCTTTAGTGAAGGAAGTAACATTATCCTTGATTTCTTCTCATGTCTTGACCCCAAGAACTCTTTCTCCAAGTTTGATGTTGATAAGCTTGTTCGTCTTACTGATATTTATCATGCAGACTTTTTTGATGATGACCGAGAAACAATTAGGAATCAACTTGACACTTAAGTTCTTCAAGTGAGAAGAGATGCTTCATTTTTCACTTCTGAAGATGTTCAAAGTTTGACTATGAAGATGGTTCAAACTGAGAAACATTTGGTATTTCCATTGATTTATAAATTTATTGAGTTAGCTTTGGTATTGTCGGTGTCGACAACATCCGTTGAACGAGCTTTTTCAGCAATGAAGATTATCAAGTCTAAATTGCACAATAAGATCAACAATGTGTGGTTCAATGACTTAATGGTATGTTACACCGAGCAGGAGATATTCAAGTCACTTGATGATATTGATATTATTCGAACATTCACCGCAAAGAAGTCTCGAAAAGGACATTTGCCTCGTAATTTTATTTAACCCGCTATTATAAGATTATGTTTATCTCTTTTATTTTAAACTATATTTTTGTTGATAAAATGAGGAGTCTATTTTATTTTGATTGATGACTATTTATATATTATATATAATGTGAATTTGCAGTTTTTAAATTTTTGTCCAGACTTTATAATTTTTCTGACTCCACCAATTAGGAGGGTGATGTAACAACTGTTATGCCTACGTATTGAGGCTTAAGAACAATTAAATAAACAAGATATTTATTTCTAGATAAAGAAAATAACTTCAACTGGATAAGAAAAAGGTGTTAGGGGTGATTTTAAGTTTTATTATATCCTTGTAAATAATATGATGAACTTTTCATATCTTGTTTGGTTTGAGAAAATGTTTTGTTTTTGTTTCTTGTATTCATAGCCACACAGATAAACAAAGAACTATTTAGTAGCCACACTAGAAATCATGACTTTAAAGTTGTTGCAGATTATGAGGGTGCAATATGAGGATTGGCCTGACTGACCCATGCCTATCTATAATTTAGTAATGGTTGCCTTGAACTCATTCATGAAGCAATTTAAGATGCATGGTTTGCATGTTGCAGACAAACCTCATATGCCCATAATTTAAGTGGTTTGGGTGGTAATTTTGCTGGAGTATATGTTGTTCCCTGAAATATAAAATGAATAGTTATATTAATATTCTTTGTAAGTTAAATCCCAATGACTTATATTTATACGACTAAGCATATCTAGACCGCAAGTCAATGACGATAGAAAAATAGTATTTCATTGTCAACATAAATGATACAATTCAATTATATGATATGTTTAAATTAGCTAGGAGTTTGTAGACATTAGTTACAGAGTAGCTATAAATTCTAGGTTTAATTATGATGTTTATTGTAGCGACAGATTAGCGACGAATTTTTCGTCGCTATAATTTTAATTAATATAAAAAATAAAAATTGGAAGAAATTTCAACGTGGCATCCAAATCATCATTTTTACCGCGTCGATATTGCCACACGTATGCCCAATCATCAAAAAAAAGTTCTGCGCGGCATGCCATGTCAGTTTCTGTTAACGATCGTTAGCATGAGGGACCAAAAGTGTGAATGAAAAATATTAAGAGGATCATTTTTTGAAGAAATTTTTTAGAGGGACTAAAAGTGAAAATGATAATACATAAAATAGATTTTGAAACAAAAACTATAGTCACTCATATCATATTGAATTCAGAACAAATTTACTTTTCGTCAAATAACTCGAAATCCCCCATAGTTATTTTATTATTCGCACAATCGTAGTTTTGTTAAATAGCAATTCCTGTGAATACGATCTTTATTTTTATTAATTCGACACTAACAATACACTTGCCAAAAAGTCATAAAATATTATAGACCATATGGTCCAAGATACCAAAGATCATGTGAAAAAGTGTGAACAATTCCAAAAGCACGGAGATGTTCATGTTGCTCTCTCATTTGAGTTAAACATGTTGACATCACTCTAACCCTTGTCGTGGTGCGGCATGAACATTGATGGACATTCTTGACGGTCAATTATTTACAAAATGGATAGAAGTCGAGGCCTTAACAATAATCACTACAACCAACATACTTGAGTTCTCAAAGAGGAGTATTTTCGCAAGGTATGGGATCCCTCTATATGTCATTACCGATAACTGAACAGAATTTACACTAAGCATTTAAAGAAATTGTTTGAAGATCTGAAGCCAAACACCACTGCACATAATATTGGGCATACAGAGGCATCCAATTATAAGGTTGTCAAGATCGATATCTTGTATAAGATCAGAAGGGGATGGTAAGATCGTGAAGCATAAGATTGTTACTAAAAATGGAAGATCCTGTTGCACCCCAAAATTTGTCCAACCTCTTTCTTAACTTGGTTTATGTTTCATTTCATCTCTTTCTAGCATTTGCATTGCATAACATTTTTCATTGAACAGGGGATCAAGAGGTTGTGCATATCAAGAGGAGTCTACTCAGAGGTTTGATCCTAAACAAGGGATGTTACTCAAGTTTGAATGGTCATCAAGTCATCTAGAAGTGGGCAATAGTCTTGTGAAAGGATTGATGGATGTACGTGGGTCAGCTCCTAACTTGGAGGTCAGTTCAAGATCATCAGAGGATTGTGAATTCATGATTAGGTATAAAAGATGTTGAGAGAGCTCATTGAGTGCTTTGAGAGCCATGTTGGAGCTTATTCAAGTTGTTGTATGAAGTGGAACAAGCCACAGTCAAGAAAGTTGCATCTAGGGTTTTCATCTGGTAAATCCTCAGTCAATTGTGAAATTGAAGGATATTAAAACTCAATTCCAAGTCTCTATGGTTATGGAATGTTGTTTTAAGATACATGAGATATCATTTCAAGTTCAATTCATCAAGAATCAAGGGTGTGAAAAGTTACTAAATTAGGGTTCTCAGGGTAAAATCCCATATTTAGTGCCCAATTCAAAACCACCTATCTCAAGATACAAGTTTCATATCAACTTTTGGCCAACATGAAACTTGTAGAGCACGTTCTTATCTTTCTTTTGAGTACTAGAAGTCCTTGATTGGATCTATAGAACTCAAGTTATGATGCAGACAAGTTACAGGTCATCAGATGAATGTGATTTTGGTCAACAAAAGACAACCAACTTCCAAGCCATTTTTGACCTAGAAGGATGTTTCTCCTCAATTTTTGGGGAAATATGAAAGTTGTAGGTCATGGTATTAGATTTCCAAAGAGTACTACAAGTATTTCATCTGATTTGTAGAACTCAAGTTATGAGGTTTGTAAGTCAGGGGTATTTTGGGAAAGTGAGATTATAGGTCATATAATTATAGGTCCATTTCACCAACTTGCACATCTCAAATGAAGATTTTTCCAACATCAAATGTGCTCCAAATGGTGTCAATTGTTCAACCAAACATTGAGAAGTCATGGATTAGGCTTGGAATGAAGAATTGATGGGTGAATTTTCATGAAAAAAGCTTAAAAGGCCAAAATGAGAATTAATTCATTTTTGATCATTTATGTGCAAGTAGGTACATATTTTGAGTGCAAAACATGTTTTAAACTCATTGTCAATTTCAAAATTTTGATTTGTGGGGTTTTTGTGAGTCATTTTCAAGCTTACTTCATCATGAAGTTACACAACCAATGTCAACCTTTAAGATCAAAACAAGGAGTAAATCATGACCATTTACACTCCATACACTCCCAACAAGAGTTTTGAACCAATTTGGAGCCAAATTTGAAGCATTTTCGTGCACTTGAAGAAGCTCCAAAATCAATTCCCATGGATTTTCAATTGGGCTCTAGGGACTAGAATTGGGCTTCATTCTGATTCAAAACCATTACATAAAAGATTTCTAACCTTCACAAATGATCAGAACATGAAAATTGGAGGCAAATTGCTCAAGAACAACTTTGAAAAAATGGAGAAAATTCAAAATTCGAATTCTGAGAATTAGCAAGTTTCAAGCCAAATTGTGAATTGCAAAAGCTTCATTGAAGATCACTGAACGTTTCTGGATACTTTTCTTCAAGCTTAAGCATCAATTGAAGGCTCAGTGGAAGTTCTCCACTAGGTATTTACAATTCAACCTTACACTCTGAATATGCATTGATTCATTGCCATTTTTACATATTTGAGACCTAGGAAACATGTAGATCGTTAATAACTAAAACAAACTGACATTGGTGATGATTGTTGGTGGATGCTCCAAACTGTTTTGATCTGGTATGGTTTGTTCTTGTGATGTTTTGCTTAATTCTTGCTTGATTTGTGACCTCCATTACATGTAGATGATGTTTGAACCAAATTGAGTGATGTTTGGTGAACTTTTGATTTTAATGCACAAACTTGTTTGTTTCAGGTTGCTCTTATTATGCATGATAATTGAATTTTGATGCTGGATTTGAGATCCTCGTGATCTCTAGATGAATTTTCATATAAAATTTATCCAATTTAGTTGAGAAAGTGTTTGACCGCGTGTTGTTGTTGGCTCACGGTGGCCTGAGCTCGGGAGGGAGACGACCGGAGTTGCAGTCCGACCACCCCTGGTTTCCCTCCTTGTTTTGCGAAGAAGATGATGTTGTGTCATCTTGTGGTTCACACAATTGACATACTTTTCATGTTAACGTCTAGGATTAAGACCTACGATATATCTCCTTTGACTGAATGCATGTAATCATGTTTAAATTTCTCATTAATGCGTTGGCACTCGCACAACCACATGATGTGATTACCACATGATCACGCGCGTGTAATTGATTTCCATGATAGTCCACAGTTGACTCTTGCACACACAAGCACCAGTTTGTTTGGTTTTTGTTTGGATTTTCTGATTGGGCCTTGATTCACTTGCTATGCACGCCCCCAGCTTGGGCCCATACGCATTTTGAACTTCTTTTGTCTGCTATTTGCACCTAATGTTTCTTAATTTCCTTTTATTTTCTTTTTTTGATTTTTCTTTTATTCCGTTTCAATTTAAATCAAATAAAATAGCTCCAATGTTCTAAAAATTCAACAAAAATATTTTTTAGGAACTTTGAGATGTCTAATATTTTTAGGATATTTTTATTTTATTTTCAATTAAAAAAAGAATTAAATATTGGAGTTGTTTTAATTGAATTGAATTGTGACATTGTTTGCTCTTGCATTTGTTTCTCTTTTTCCTTTTTGATCCAATGAATGAAAATTGATCCTCATATCCATGATGAGTTGAACAATTTTTGAGGACCATTTTGCCCCTGGTTGTTGACTTTTGGGTTGACTTTTGTGGCTTTTCTTTTGACCCTCGATTCTCTCATTTCAAAGTGGTACATCTTGAATATTATTTTCTTTTGATGGTGCTTTGAGGGGATATTTGTCTTGTGCTTTTGGCCTCTGCTTGCCAACATGTTTAGCTACCTTGTGCTTTTTATTTGATTATTTTTGAACTATTTTCCTATTTTTGAGGTAACTTGCAAGTCAAGTTACCTCCAAGGGAGGTTAACACAAGTACCTTGA